CTCTGTAGAGTTTATTAGCTAATATGTTTATAGTGTAACCATAGTACTAAGCTTAAGATAAGATTAGACTTAAGCTAAATGTATATAGCAAAATAAACTCCTTAGAGTTTATTAACTAATATACTTTTTATGTTAAAAACATAGTACTGAGCTTAAGTTATGATGAAACTTAAGCTATATATATATAATAACAAAACCCTCACGAAGTTTTGTTAGCTAATACCTTTATAATGTAAACATACTGCTTAAGATATGATGAAAACTTAAGCTAATTGTATAATAGCTTAAAACAACCCTTTAGAGTTTGTTAGCTATGATATAAACCTAGTATTGAGCTTATGAAGGAAAACTTAAGCTACATATATAATAGCAAGAACTCCGTAGAGTTTGTTAGCTAATACATGTTATAATGTAACCATAAAGCTTAAAATATGATGAAACTTAAGCTTAAATATATAATAGCAAAACCCTCTTTAGAGTTTTGATAGCTAATATACCTATATGATATAAACATAGTACTGCTTTTAAGATATGAATAAGCTTAAGTTACATATATAATAGCTAAAACTCTGTAGAGTTTGTTAGCTAATACATGTTATAATATAACCATATTGCTTAGAAATATGATGATACTTAAGCCAAATAGCAAAAACTCTTTAGAGTTTGTTAGCTAATCTACTTATATGATATAAACATAGTACTAAGCTTAAGATATGAATAAGCTTAAGCTACCTATATAATAGCAAAACTCCTTAGAGTTTGTTAGCCAATATATTTTAATAATATGAGTATAGTACTATGCTTAAGGTATAATTAGCTTAAGTTACCTATATAATAGTAAAACTCAGAGAGTTTGTTAGCTTAATTAACTTAAGCTATGTATAAAATAGCCAAAACTCTGTAGAGTTTGTTAGCTAATGCATTTATCATGTAACCATAGTATTACTCTTAAGATATGAATAACTTAAGGTAAATATATATAATAACAAACTCTGTAGAGTTGTTAACTTATATATTGTATGATGTAATAATCATAGTACTGTGATGATAAAAGGAACTTAAGTAAATTATACATAGCATGAAGCTATTTAGTATTGTTATAAGATAAGTAAAAATCTGTTAGATTGACTTATCTTCTCCGAGGAACTGTCAGCTGTTGTGCGAGGACCATGGGATCGAATTGGTGTATACCTGAGACGTCCTCGGTGGTGATATCTCTCAGATAATGGTTTGCAACCACTATATCGGATTTCCAGAAATAAACCCTCCATTATTTCAATCACATTTGTGTAGAACAATTGTAGAAGTTAGCGCTATAATATCATGAGTATTAAGCTCATGGAGGGTCGGAATAGGTCCATCCGCATATGCACGTAGTATGACAGTTCTGATCCAAATGGAGATATAGTACATGAGACTTCACTCTGCGTAAGTTGATGATAGAGGAAATAATCTGTTGCATTTTTCCTCCTGTTTGGTTTGGTGGAGATAAATTTACAGTGCTCTTGCTGGCCATCTTGATAGAATCATCGTATCATGGGGTCCAAGTATGTCATCCAGGCGTGTTCATAAACCTCACTTGTGAGGTGTTGGAGCACTATATTCATATCCCCAGGTTGGGCGTGAAATTTCCGCTTTATTCTCCAAACAGAAGTTTAGTAGGTTTACTAACCATCTAGTTGTGTTAGTCGCTTGATGAAATTCAGCTGTAGTCTGAAACGCTGTGGATTTAGATCCACTTGTATCTTCGCCTAGGTAATTCGCCAAGTAAGTCCTTGACGATGTAGGTGCACAACCAGGTGTGTCTGTCCTCGCTGAACTTTATGTAAAATCGCTTCGACTGCCGATCCCTCGCCTTAACTTGACAGGGAGGTCTCTAACTTGAAGAAAGGCAGTCTAATCATGAATGTTCAGGTTAACTGGACTGTAATGAGGCTTGCTCGCTCACTGATATATAGTTGTCACTTGTGACGTAAGTCTTGAACTGTGAATAGAGATCGACCTCTGTGTAGGTCGTTGTCCCTCAGCGGGTCCAATCAGAACAAGGCATTTTGATTCTGTATAATACCCGCTGTGATGTCACCGTGTAGCGGAAAACCCACCTTGAATAAATTCTTGTCGCCGCTGATATTAGCATAAACGCCGGTCTTCACCGTAGCTTCCCGGTTATCCGAGTGACCACGCGTTTCGAGGGTTAATGGTAACCGCTACTGAAACCTCCGCCAAATATCTCGCTCTGTAATTTTATGCTGGGTAGGTTATTTTCCTGGTTGTCGTGAAAGTAATTTCAGTTTTGAATATAATTCACTTCCTTATATATATAGGGTATAAACAACTTGCAAGTTGTGAGCTTGTAGACTGTATACATGAATGTATCGTCATAATTGTAGAATTAACGTTGAACTTGTTGTACATATTTCTTCTCAGAAACTTTGACGATTAAGAGTTATACTCGCTGTAACAAGGCTGCTGTTCAATTTCGATATTGAATTGTCTGCAGATATGCGTAATGGTCACGCATGTAGATAATCGTGATCGTCGTCCGGGATTGTATATTAGCAATTTATACGGAATAGTTGATTTCTGTGAAGATCTATGAAATGTCGTTGACTAATAATACAGCGACGTTCTGTGTTGTAAATAGCCTGAGCAATTATCTTCGCTGAGGGCTTATAGATCGGCATCTGGCATACAGTTGATAATCAACTTATGCGACGCCTTGAACGGACTGACGAAAGTAGCTATATATGACGAAAGTGGCTAGTATATGGAAACCTTGGAGGAGACTTCCTCGGTGAACGCCGGAGACTTCGCTGGGTTCTCAAGTATCCCTTCTAGATCTTCTGGGTGAAGTAGACTTGAGTTACTTAGCCTTCGCGACCATCGCGAAGGTGTCGAAGTCAAAGCCCGATTAGTATATATATATATATATAATATATATATGAGCTTGCTTCGCGGAACAGCCTCTGTGTTTAACAGGATGTGGATCGGGCGGCTTGCCTAAATAGGGCCGCATGGATCATCTTATCATATTCAGAAGTCGTATTTACGAAAGTCTGGTGATAAGTGTCTAATTGATCGCTCTAGATCTATTTAGGCCAGCGAACATACGCGCCTCGTCATGGATTCAACAGAACCAATATACGATTGTAGTTCTTATACTTGATATCGATGATCAACTTGTCTATGGGTTGATCTTCGGAGACTTGTGAGGGGAACGCTGATAGTTTCGCCGAAGCTCTTGTATAGTCCCTCGATGTCCTTCTAGATGATGATGATCTGGATTCAGGTGACCATTGCGCATGCCTTCGCGAAGCTTCCTCTGCGTCCGGTCCGGGAACGACGATATGACCTTCGCGAAGGCTTCCGTGATGTCTGATGGTCCGAGTCCACATCTAGGGATGAAACCGCATAAGGTGATGATCTATCCTGCCTTCGCGAAGTCCTTCGCGAAGGCTGTACATCTAGGTTCTTTCCGCCTTCGCGAAGGCTGTACATCTAGGTCCTTTCCGCCGCCTTGCGAAGGCCTTCGCCCGAAGGCTGTACATCTAGGTCCTTCGTCAAGGTGGTCCGTGACTTCCTTCGGCGAAGGTGACATCGTCCTGGCTGCTACGCTGACGGGGGTGCCTCTGGGGTGCTGTTCACGCTTGGAGCCTTCGAAGGTTTCGACCCTGCTACCGCAGAGATATGGTCCTCCATGATGTTCATAATTTGTCGCATCATGTCTTCTGGGATGGTCTGCGGCGAGGTCGAAGTCGCCGGTGCTTTATCTGCGCGGTGTTAATGGAGGGTCCACCTTGAAAATCGTCCGACATCAGTGTAGAGGCATCAGGCTGCATGGTGATCTCTGCTGATGTCGTTGTAGCTGTCACCGGTCGCTTCTTGTGGCGATCGCCGGGGATGATGATCAGCTGATCATCGTAGAGGTCCAGGTCATCGGCTGGAACAATCTCGGTTGAGAAAGTCCTAGTAGACTTCGTTGATTTTCCCTCAGAGGTCGACGCTGCCCTGGGTGTGCGGCGTCTGCGTTGAGTGTTGGTAATGATGGGACCCTCAGGGCGATCATCGCATATCTGCGTTGGTACATCAGGCTGCATGCTGATCTGTGCCGACATCGGTCAATCTTTGATGAACATCCGTATGATGACCGGCTGATCATCATACAGGCCCAAAACTTCGATGGGAGCGGTCTCCGGTTGTTGAGATGTAGTAGAAAAACCCTCTAGTCTTCTGCTGCGACGATGGGATGTCTGGGAAGCAGGATGCTTCTTGGAGATGGCGGACTCGTCCCACACCTCTCCACCACTCTAGCGAACACCACACGGGAGAGTCGGCCAACAGCAGTAGACTGGCGAGGGTTCCGTGTATCAGTCATACTAGACTCTGCATACGCGACCTATCTGCTGTGCGTGCCAAACGCAAAGTAAATATTAATAAAAGGTAGAATTGGATAAATTAGTACCGCAAACTGCAATGTGAATATAATAAACATGGCGCCGTACATCATATTAAAGGCGGATCAGCAGCAGCATAAAAACGTAATCTGCAATAGTACAGAATTTTCATCAACGTAATCCACTGAAACAAACACGGCGTCCATTGACTAAACTGTAGAAAAACGACTAAATATCAATATATAATCGTTGAAGGATACTAGCTAAACCTCTATAGATGTCTATACACAGGTAACTAACTAAATATAATTCAGGCAGGATATAGTGTGTCGGAGACACAGTGCTACTAATTAGTGATTTTAAATTGAAGCTCACTGGGCGATACAAGTGAAGTTCGAGAGAAGAGGCACAAAAGAGCATGGGTAGAGGATAAGGAAAAACACATGCTTTTCTGCAGTAACATCTGTTGTGGAAAGGTAGGTAACTGCGTGGTGAATACTAATTAGTGATTTTAAATTGAAGGAGCTTCAATTAGGTGAGATATCTAAGTGTTCCACTATGTACACCAAGCAAACAGAAGAAGACAAGCAAAACAGAGCATTTGAGTCAGGATAAGGAAAAAGGCCAGCTCCACTGGTCAGGAACATGCAGAAAAACATCTGTGTAAACTTTAAGGTAGTGGTTCATCGCCTCCAGAAAGCGGCTCCGGTACAGCTGAGGGGAGACAACTGTAGGTGTCTTACCTGACAATCAGAGAATACAACACCTGCATATTAATCACAGAACTTATATGATAATTGTAGGAGACAAGCATGAGGAAAGAATGTTGTAATTTTTGGTTCACTATTGTTTTCAAAACTAAAACTGGAAAACAAGGACAATTCATTCAGTCATATTTCTGAAATTAAAGTTAACTTAATTAAAGAGCAGTAAGCACCATCCTTCCAAGAAAATGTTTTGAAACAATTTAATCAATCCACTTTAAGTGTAGTTGAGCACACTGCCACCATTACTCACCCTGTCCGCCGATAATGCCAATCTGGGACTTCACCAACATCTCCAGCTTCTTGTCCCAGGTGAATGTGCGAATGTAATCTGGAGAGAGGCAAAACAAACATTGGCAGACAGCAACAAGCAGCAAATACATTCTGCAACACCACACTTATATTATTATGCACTGGAAAACATGAGTAAGATTAATGAGATCTTGTTCTGTGTAGTTAGACTGACCAATGATCCCGACTACCAGCTCCTTCCTGGCCTCGTCTAGCCCTACAAGCAGGGAGTAGTCCATCACCAGGATGCTGGACAGGAACTCCGAGTCGCTTGAGATGGCTGCATTCAGCACTGTCTTGGAGTGTGGCCGCATGTACAGGGGCGACTCCACACTCACTGAAACAATGGTGAACACCTCATCAACAACTGACTTTTACTTCAGAGTATATACCAATATGCATTAACACACAGACTCAACCAATTGCCTTTCAATCAATGTGTTTTAGCGGTTATTTCATAAGAATGAAATTTGTTAGTGTCGTTTAAAGTGTGCAATTTCTTATGTTTCATTCAGCAAGATGGAATCTAATGATGGTACTATGTCCTGTCCACTACTGTCTTTTTAAACTTTTCTATTTAAACAGATACTGATGTCGAATGTGCAACAGTGCTACTGACATTTGAGAAGGTTTTCGTCAAGCAACACCAGTTCTTCCTCTCGTTTCCCTGATGTGTTAACCAAGCGATTCCTCATCGAGCCCTTCAGGTCAAATGTCTAACAAACATAGAAATATGAACACATAAGACACATGAAAACAACTTAAACCTCAAACAAGTGAACCGTGCTGGCACACATGGAATTTAATTACACCTGCATATTTCATTACAGACACGGTGAACTGTCAACAATATTTGTGCTATATACTGACTCAAGAAAAATGTAGACACACAACATAACATGGCTGAGTAACAAGGCACAGTTAAATGATATGTAACTGAGCTTCAAGCATGGGTCAAGGGAGATAACCTGGGTGATCTTTCTGTTGTAGAAGAGGTTCTCCATCACCAGCAGGTCCTGCTTCAGGGCATGGTTGGTCTGGGTGTTCCGGAAACCAATCCTGTAGACGCCAAGGATCTTCGCCAGTGCAGTTGGCCTCTGCATATACACATAGTTGACTCTGTATCATGACTCAGTTTGGCTTATACAAAATAATTACCTGAACACAATCTTGAAACAGTACTTGACACCTGCACTCACTAAGCTTAATTTTCATGCATTTTTAGAACGAAAAAACATATCTAGTATGATCTGTGCAGAAAGACCGAGATAATGTTCATGTATTTAACAATGAATCAACTTTGAAAGTAAAGTTTTGTACCCACTACTACCACGATTCAGTGAAATATTGCTCTGTATCATATTAGTTAGCTCACCTTTTCTCGATAGGCTCTTGTAATGTACTTGAAATATTCAGGACCAAACTTCTCAAATGATTCCACCTCCATACCAGACATTTGTTTCAAGATGAATCGGTCATCTACAATATGTTACACATGCTCACTTACTTATGGATAACCAACATAACAAAAGATTCATCAATTCTGAACTGTTTTTGTTTAAAAAACATTTAAATTTATCATACAAACAATTCATAACTGACAGAATTTCGTGAACATGGCAAGATGTTAGAGATTTTCCATTTCTAACAAGGATTACTAGGTAGGACAAGATAGTACTGAATATCTTAGGTTGGGTTGGCAGGTTGGCAGAAAACTATTGTTCAGTGACATGACCTGTACATACCTATCTCAGCAAAGTGAGGGAGTGAGTTTAGTTTTACGCTGCTTTTAGCAATATTCCAGCAATATCACAGTGAGGGAAACAAGAAATGGGCTTCACACATTGTACCCCTGGGGGGGATCGAACCCAGGTCTTCAGCATGATGAGTGAACACTTTCACCACTAGGCTTCCCCACCTCCCTATCTCAGCCACGTAGAAACTCACCATCAGTCTTGCAGAAGGTGGACCCAGACTTCCCTCCCTTGGCCTCCCAGGGCTTGCAGCGACACAAAGACCTAATGAACCTGTTGAGCAGAGGACAGTCTGATGTTTGTACAACCGACTCTGGTATCAACATCACCACAACCTGTTCAACTCACTCAACACAATCATCCCCAACCTGTCATCAAACTTGTCGACACACTCATTCCCATAAGATCAACACACTTGTCAACACACTCATTCACATAAGATCAACACACTTGTCAACACACTCATTCCCACAAGATCAACACACTTGTTAACACACTCTTTTCCCATAAGATCAACACACTTGTCAACACACTCATTCACATAAGATCAACACACTTGTCAACAAACTCAATCCCACAAGATCAACACACTGGTCAACACACTCATTCACATAAGATCAACACACTTGTCAACACACTCATTCCCACAAGATCAACATACTTGTCAACACACTCTTTTCCCACAAGATCAACACCCTGGTCAACACACTCAATCCCACAAGATCAACACACTTGTCAACACACTCCAACACACTCATTCCCATAAGATCAACACACTTGTCAACACACTCCAACACACTCATTCACATAAGATCAACACACTTGTCAACACACTCCAACACACTCATTCACATAAGATCAACACACTGGTCAACACACTCATTCACATAAGATCAACACACTTGTCAACACACTCCAACACACTCATTCACATAAGATCAACACACTGGTCAACACACTCCAACACACTCATTCACATAAGATCAACACACTGGTCAACACACTCAGTCACATAAGATCAACACACTGGTCAACACACTCCAACACACTCATTCACATAAGATCAACACACTGGTCAACACACTCATTCACATAAGATCAACACACTGGTCAACACACTCCAACACACTCATTCCCATAAGATCAACACACTTGTCAACACACTCCAACACACTCATTCACATAAGATCAACACACTTGTCAACACACTCCAACACACTCATTCACATAAGATCAACACACTGGTCAACACACTCCAACACACTCATTCACATAAGATCAACACACTAGTCAACACACTCAATCACATAAGATCAACACACTTGTCAACACACTCCAACACACTCATTCACATAAGATCAACACACTGGTCAACACACTCAGTCACATAAGATCAACACACTTGTCAACACACTCCAACACACTCATTCCCATCAGATCAACACACTGGTCAACACACTCCAACACACTCATTCACATAAGATCAACACACTAGTCAACACACTCAATCACATAAGATCAACACACTTGTCAACACACTCCAACACACTCATTCACATAAGATCAACACACTGGTCAACACACTCCAACACACTCATTCCCATAAGATCAACACACTGGTCAACACGCTCAATCCCACAAGATCAACACACTTGTCAACACACTCCAACACACTCATCCCCATAAGATCAACACACTGGTCAACACACTCAATCCCATAAGATCAACACACTGGTCAACACACTCAATCCCACAAGATCAACACACTGGTCAACACACTCAATCCCACAAGATCAACACACTGGTCAACACGCTCAATCCCACAAGATCAACACACTTGTCAACACACTCCAACACACTCATTCACATAAGATCAACACACTGGTCAACACACTCCAACACACTCATTCACATAAGATCAACACACTGGTCAACACACTCAATCCCACAAGATCAACACACTGGTCAACACGCTCAATCCCACAAGATCAACACACTGGTCAACGCACTGGTCAACACACTCAATCCCACAAGATCAACACACTGGCCAACACACTCAATCCCACAAGATCAACACACTGGTCAACACGCTCAATCCCACAAGATCAACACACTTGTCAACACACTCCAACACACTCATTCACATAAGATCAACACACTGGTCAACACACTCAATCCCACAAGATCAACACACTGGTCAACACACTGGTCAACACATTCAATCCCACAAGATCAACACACTGGCCAACACACTCAATCCCACAAGATCAACACACTGGTCAACACGCTCAATCCCACAAGATCAACACACTGGTCAACACGCTCAATCCCACAAGATCAACACACTGGTCAACACACTCAATCCCACAAGATCAACACACTGGCCAACACACTCAATCCCACAAGATCAACACACTTGTCAACAAACTCCAACACACTCAATCCCACAAGATCAACACACTGGTCAACACCCACAAGATCAACACTGGCCAACACACTCAATCCCACAAGATCAACACACTTGTCAACAAACTCAACACACTCAATCCCGCCGAGGATCAACACACTGGCCAACACACTCAATCCCACAAGATCAACACACTGGCCAACACACTGCAACACACTGGTCAACTCAATCACACAAGATCAACACACTTGTCAATCCCACAAGATCAACACACTTGTCAACAAACTCCAACACACTCAATCCCACAAGATCAACACACTGGTCAACACGCTCAATCCCACAAGATCAACACACTGGCCAACACACTCAATCCCACAAGATCAACACACTTGTCAACAAACTCCAACACACTCAATCCCATAAGATCAACACACTGGCCAACACACTCAATCCCACAAGATCAACACACTGGCCAACACACTCAATCCCACAAGATCAACACACTTGTCAACACGCTCAATCCCACAAGATCAACACACTGGTCAACACACTCAATCCCACAAGATCAACACACTGGCCAACACACTCAATCCCACAAGATCAACACACTGGTCAACCCGCTCAATCCCACAAGATCAACACACTGGTCAACACACTGGTCAACACACTCAATCCCACAAGATCAACACACTGGCCAACACACTCAATCCCACAAGATCAACACACTGGTCAACACGCTCAATCCCACAAGATCAACACACTTGTCAACACACTCCAACACACTCATTCACATAAGATCAACACACTGGTCAACACACTCAATCCCACAAGATCAACACACTTGTCAACAAACTCCAACACACTCATTCCCATAAGATCAACACACTGGTCAACACACTCAATCCCACAAGATCAACACACTTGTCAACAAACTCCAACACACTCATTCACATAAGATCAACACACTGGCCACACACACTCAATCCCACAAGATCAACACACTGGTTAACACACTGGTCAACACACTCAATCCCACAAGATCAACACACTTGTCAACACACTCCAACACACTCATTCACATAAGATCAACACACTGGCCAACACACTCAATCCCACAAGATCAACACACTGGTCAACACGCTCAATCCCACAAGATCAACACACTGGTCAACACACTCAATCCCACAAGATCAACACACTGGCCAACACACTCAATCCCACAAGATCAACACACTGGTCAACACGCTCAATCCCACAAGATCAACACACACCAACACACTCATTCACATAAGATCAACACACTGGTCAACACACTCAATCCCACAAGATCAACACACTTGTCAACAAACTCATTTCCCATAAGATCAACACACTTGTCAACACACTCATTTCCCATAAGATCAACACACTTGTCAACACACTCATTCCCATAAGATCAACACACTAGTCAACACACTCATTCACATAAGATCAACACACTTGTCAACACACTCATTCCCACAAGATCAACACACTTGTTAACACACTCTTTTCCCATAAGATCAACACACTTGTCAACACACTCATTCACATAAGATCAACACACTTGTCAACAAACTCAATCCCACAAGATCAACACACTGGTCAACACACTCATTCACATAAGATCAACACACTTGTCAACACACTCATTCCCACAAGATCAACATACTTGTCAACACACTCTTTTCCCACAAGATCAACACCCTGGTCAACACACTCAATCCCACAAGATCAACACACTTGTCAACACACTCCAACACACTCATTCCCATAAGATCAACACACTTGTCAACACACTCCAACACACTCATTCACATAAGATCAACACACTTGTCAACACACTCCAACACACTCATTCACATAAGATCAACACACTGGTCAACACACTCATTCACATAAGATCAACACACTTGTCAACACACTCCAACACACTCATTCACATAAGATCAACACACTGGTCAGCACACTCCAACACACTCATTCACATAAGATCAACACACTGGTCAACACACTCAGTCACATAAGATCAACACACTGGTCAACACACTCCAACACACTCATTCACATAAGATCAACACACTGGTCAACACACTCATTCACATAAGATCAACACACTGGTCAACACACTCCAACACACTCATTCCCATAAGATCAACACACTTGTCAACACACACTCCAACACACTCATTCACATAAGATCAACACACTTGTCAACACACTCCAACACACTCATTCACATAAGATCAACACACTGGTCAACACACTCCAACACACTCATTCACATAAGATCAACACGCTAGTCAACACACTCAATCACATAAGATCAACACACTTGTCAACACACTCCAACACACTCATTCACATAAGATCAACACACTGGTCAACACACTCAGTCACATAAGATCAACACACTTGTCAACACACTCCAACACACTCATTCCCATCAGATCAACACACTGGTCAACACACTCCAACACACTCATTCACATAAGATCAACACACTAGTCAACACACTCAATCACATAAGATCAACACACTTGTCAACACACTCCAACACACTCATTCACATAAGATCAACACACTGGTCAACACACTCCAACACACTCAATCCCACAAGATCAACACACTTGTCAACACACTCCAACACACTCATCCCCATAAGATCAACACACTGGTCAACACACTCAATCCCATAAGATCAACACACTGGTCAACACACTCAATCCCACAAGATCAACACACTGGTCAACACACTCAATCCCACAAGATCAACACACTGGTCAACACGCTCAATCCCACAAGATCAACACACTTGTCAACACACTCCAACACACTCATTCACATA